GGGGGGGGGGGGGGAGGGGGGGGGGGGTGTCCCTGCCGAATCAGCTCTGACAGTGGTGTATGCAAGCCGCAAATATAAGCGGTGACCCCGACAAAGGAGACCTGGAACTCGCAAGCACGCAGGTTACTAGTGCAACGTCACGCTTTTCTTGGCCGCCTGCGCTTTCTCGTCTCGGGAGCGAGTGGCGGTTGGAATTTCTCTTGTAGGAGTCGGGGTTTACACCGGCATTTTCTGACGGCGGCGTAGTGGTGCTGCCTGCCTGTCCGAGGGACGTCGCCTCATCTGTGAGCCCCGGGGACAATTACTAGCCCTTGAACGCCTAAACACAGAGCGGTGCTGCCAGTGTTGACGCTCAGTAGTCCCCCTGAGAAGTTCCTGCTGATCGTGGTCTGAAAAATTGCTAAGCAGCACCCTGGCAGAAGAAGTGGCTGAAGCTTCCGGAAGCACTGAGTAGAGAAATGAGGGGCCGCAGAATATTTAGACGGGGAGAACGTCACAAAAACGTGTCAAAAGGACTGGAAGTTGGGAGTGTGGGACCTGAGCAAAGAGGGCTCCTGCACAGGCTACTGAAGGAGGAGTAATTGAATCTCTGGAGCTTACCGTAAAGGCAAGCGCACAAAGGAAGGCAGCGGGCTGGCATGCTGAGGCTCCCAGTGCCTGCAGTTGGCCTTGTCTCAGCTCTTTCGCGTGGCTGTGGTCGAGAGAGAGCTGGCTAGGAAATGAGGGAAGCGGTGAAGGTCACGTGCGAGAGGTCCGGTAGGAGGAAGTGCTGAGTAATCGGGAGTCAGCTTTTTTGTAGTTATGTGACTTCCTACCAGTGCTGAGGGTTGGGTGGTGGCTCCTGTCTCATCAGTTCAGTGGTACCCTGCGTAGTGCTTGAGTGACTTTTGGGAGTTTCTTTGTTAGGTGAGCTCTTCTAATGAAGTTTCCCAAAGCACGTAAACTTTCTTTGCTGGGAGAAAATGAACTTTAGCATGTGACGTTCTGCGGTAGGCAACCCTGTTTTGCACCAATACTTTTCAAGCTACGTTCACCAAATTAGTTTTAGAAAAACAATCAGATACAGATTCTTTAATTCTTCAATTTAGGTGTCATTTAAATACTCAGGATTTTTTTAAACCTAACTTTTAAAATCAGCTTTAAACTTCAAAAGAGCTGATCAGTTTGGGGATAGCCGGGAGGCTTGTTTTGATGGGGGTGTGTGTGTGTGTGTGTGTCTGTGTTTGTTTTTAACTAATCTCATCAACAGTTGTGAAACTCAGTTGGTTACCTTTCAGTAACACTCTGTCCTTCCACCAGAATTAACTTAATGAAGTTCACTGTATATCCTTGTCTTCTGTGCTGTCCTGTATGTATGTAAATTGGAATATATCATCATTTGAATGTGAAATAGCTAGACTGTATATTGAATTCAGAATTTTAAGGAGTGCTGTTTTGTGAGGTTTGCATTTTATGCTAACAAACTTCAGCACACTTCTAAACTGGGCTTTCTTTCAGATTCAGGGCTCATCTAAGTAGGCTTTCAGGTATAGTTAGGAAAAGGTGATGACAGCTTTGTTCTTTTTGCCAGTAATACTGAGCTGAATAAAGTACCGAAAGTTGAAAATATGGTGGGTATGACGTTTTTCTTGCAAAAGTACGTAAACCTCTTGTTGTACTACTTGCATTTCAGATCAATTCAAATGCCTCCTTAACTGTGTCTTTGGCACAGACTCCTTACTGCAAGAAGCACGGATACGATCCCCAGAATCCCCTCTGTGCCCACATAATCTTCTGTGGGAGTATTGTAAAGGTAAGCAGTTGAAAGTTGACGCTGGACAAGATTGTGTGCACCAAATAGTATTGTTTAGTGAATGGAGAAGAGAAAGGTTAGAATTTCTGTGCGAAAGTATATGAAGAGGTGTTATGTGCCGTGATACCAGAAGGCTAGCTCATAGTTTGTGTGAGGAAGATGAAGTTACCACTTGATATTTGCAGGAGCTATGTTGGCATGTCTTTAGCAAGGAACTTGGGAGGACAATATTGTAATGAAGGAAACCTCCCTCATTCCTCTAGGCCTGTTTTGAAACTAAGAAGTCTAAGACAGTTCTCTTGTGAATGAAGTGTGAAGGTTTATCCATCTCTTTTGCTCAGTTAAATTCTTTGGTCTGTGCAGTGTGACATACACGCTTCTGAAATTTTATTGAAGTAAATATTAACCTGAGCTATAAAGTTACAGGTATTAGAGACAGAAAAAGTGCATTGTGTTATCTGGTGGCGTTGCTGCCAGGGCAGTATTCTTTCATGCACCAGTACTTTGGTGTCCCATAGAAGGGATTTAGAACTGCATGTGTTAGTCATTGAAGATCTTAATCCCATTATTGAGGATAATGATTGAGGATGAGGACTAATCATCATTAGTCTCTCCTGTATGATAGTCTAAATTCTTATTTGGTGTTTTCACACCTCAGATATTTGTACAGTACACTCCAGCAATCCTTTAATTGCTGTCATGGGTTTCTCATCAGGTAATGGAATTGTTTATTTTAATTAGTTCCTCTTGAACCATACCCAGAGCTCTAACTTGTTGATTTAACCCTTTAAATATTTGCAGAATGTATATTAAGTGCTGTCACACATTTCGGCTTCCCTTCTCTTGTAGATTCTGTTATATCATCCCATTTGTGTGTGTGTGTGTTTGCATGCATCTGAACACAGTTGGATCTGTTTGTGTCTGTTTGCGTGAGCAGGTGCAGAGGAGGTGAAATTACACCCAAAACATTGCATTGTAATAATTCAGCAAGAATCCATACTCCTCTGTTTTGTGATTTGTTGAAAGATTTATTCTTATGTTGATGAAGTACTTTCTTGCTCATGCTTACTTTAAAAACACCCTTTTGATTTAATATTAAAAGCAACTACCTTGGAGTTTTTGTCTGTCTCATGCGGTTGTCCACCACACTGAAGATGAGTGGACTCTGCCACAGTAATGAGTCCTTTGGGACAAAACATGGCTAAACTGAAAAGAGCACACTGCAGTCAGCAGTGGGTTTTTTTAGCTAAAATTTTTCTTCACGTGACTGTATCTTACTGTAATATTTTGCTGGTTATTGTTTAGGTGAAAGATTCAGAAGCGGGCTTAGCAAAAAAAGCATTATTCAGTCGCCACCCTGAAATGGAAAATTGGCCTAAGGATCATAATTGGTTCTTTGCCAAATTCAACATCACCAATATTTGGGTCCTGGACTACTTTGGTGGATTGAAAATTGTGACACCAGAAGAATATTACAGCGTCAAGCCTTAGTAAGTACTTAAGTTTTGCACGCTTAACTCTCATATTTGGAACCTGTAAAACTTCTCCTTATTAGTAACAGTGTATATTAACTGTCTCTCTAGACACATTTATGTCTTTTCCCTAAGTAGTCTACTGGATGCAGTGCCTGAAATCATAAGATATGCTCAAATAGGGGATCCACCTACTTAACAATATCAAGTATAGTACCTATAGAACTATCTGTGGTTAACTGCACTTGTACCTCAGTTTATTCAGTCAGAAGAAACATACGGTTTCTTCTATAGTGGGCACAGTCACTGTGCTCTGTTTGAATTAATTGCAAGGCAGGTGAAAAGTAGTGAGACTATTCAGCGTTTATGAAGCTGTATTAATGGTATTGCAGCAATATTGCTTAATATTTTCAAAACAAAATTGCTTTTGAATTTATCATTGCAATATTGAAGTATAGAGAAATTGTGTTCTATTATCTACATAAAACTAAGTCTTCAAAACTTTCAAATACATTTTAGCGCAGTCAACACGCATTCAATTTCACTCTTATTCTTACTCCTTGTAGGTGGAAGAAGATCCTTGGTGATGCTGATATACAAGTGAATTACTTTGGCTGTTTCATGAAAGATTTATTTTTTGTCTATGTATTGTAGAGCTGAATTAATAATGCAAAAAATCAAACACCTTGCATTGTTAATGAGCTTGTATAACCCTTCTGAAGCAAATGTGAATTCTCACTAACTAGCACAGCTTGAATCATGTCATACTCAAAAACCTTTGTGCATAAGCCATAACTAAATTTTACTCATTGGACGTGATTCCGAAAGATGTCTGTTTGTTGACAGTCTGCATTCAGAAAGGCTGTGTTTACTGGAAACTAAAGGATTAGTCCAGTTCTAAACCTTTCAATGCCTTAGTTAAATAATACCTGTTTGTGAGCACTCCAATTTTATTTTTAGTACCAGTTTAGTTTAGATCTTTATGGCAAAGTACCACAGGATGGCTCAGCTGACTGTGGAATGGATAGCATTGCTTGTATCACAATGGCAAATGATAAGCTGAGTTCCCAAAGTCTGTTCAGAATTTTCTTTGCACGCGAATACACGCACTCGTTTGAGCCATTTTTCCATTTTACTACCTACATTGAATGTGCTATAGAATACGATTGTGTTTATGCAAACTGTGCGTATACCTCGTGATAAGTCCTTGGTAACTCTTCAGCTAGAAGTGTGTGGTTATATGCCCTGACTCTTTAAAAGAAGCAGGGTGGTAATACCTGAAGTATCTAACTTTAGTATAAGAAGAGTAGTGGCTTGTAAATTCAATGAGAATGTTGTAAAGGGTGATGTTTTCTGATTAGGATTCTGAAATCTTCAGCTTTGTTAGTCTGAGCAAATGGCAATGTAACAGCTTTTATTACCCTCAACAGTAGAACTGAGCAGGGTTTTGGTTTTGGAAGCCTTACACAGCAATTTTGGTTTAGTAACCCAGAAGCAAGAAAGAAGCAATACCGTATGACACAGATGATTCATGATGTGTAGAGAATGAAAATTAATGAAAGGTGTGCATAATTAATTCTCTGCTAAAATAAGCCACACACAACCACAAAAAATAAATTAACACCTTTTTACATCCTCTCATCTCCCATGTGCTAAGTTCACAAATATCCAAAAGGGATTATGAACAATTAAGTTGATTTTACAATGAGCAAATATTACCTAGTTGACAGAGTAAAGAATGTGAGAATTTAGACTCCTTAGAGGCAGATCCATATATAGAACAGTGGAATTCGTCACACCAAATCATCTCTACATCTTAATGTCGTTATTAATCACTACTTTTTCTCAAATACTGGAATGATTTGTGAAAGTATTTTTGACGTAACTTACTAAGTTTTCCTTCTCCGCAAGAGGAAAAAAGGTACTTGTTACTGTATCAAACCCATTCTGTTCTACTATCTGAACATTAATTTAGGATCAAAAAACCTTAAAATATTACAAAATGAATTTTTTACATACAAAAATTCAACAATTTATGTTGAACAGGTAACACTGACCTTATAAGGAAGAAATTTTTTACGCTGAGGGTGGTGAAGCACTGGAACAGGTTGCCCAGAGAGGTGGTGGATGCCCCATCCCTGGAGACATTCAAGGTCAGGCTGGACGGGGCTCTGAGCAACCTGATGTTGCTAGATGCTTCTAGTTGCTTCAACTAGATGTTGAAGATGTCCCTGCCCACAGCAGGGGGGTTGGACTAGATGACCTTTAAAGGTGCCTTCCAACCCAAACTATTCTACGATTCTGTGATTAAATATGAAATTGGAAAATATTTTTATATAAGGCGTATGGACTTGATCCTTTCCGTGGAGATACCTGAATGCATTACATGTCGCTCCGTAACTCCTGATGTGTGAGACTGATGATGCTGGGCTTTTGTTAAAATTAAAATATTTTTTGACAAGTGGTGTGCAGCGTTATTTATTGCACGTTCAAGAATACTTTTCTCCCTCACACTCTCTTTTACACAAGCACTCTCTCTTCAGAGTTCTCGTTTTATTGTTGCTCTGGAGTCTTTCGCGCTTGCTAGAATAAATAGTGAAACACCCCTATTACACCTGGCTTTCCCTCCTTGGATGAAATAAGCATCTTTGTGTTTCACTTTCTTTTCTGAATCTAGTACTGTGAAATAGAACATAAAATAATAACAGTGGAGTTTGTGAAAATTAATACAAGGAAGCCTTATTTGATTATTTCTTCCGGCTAGGACTTCTACATTTCTAAATGACTGTATCATCGGCAGGCAGGTGTTCAGCCATCTCCAGGAAAGCAGGGCTCCATCATGTGTTAACGGTTACTTGGGAAGACAAACGCCATCACTCCAAACGTCCCCCACCTTTCTCCTTCTTCTTCCCTCAGCTTTTATTGCTGACCATGATGTCCTGCAGTCTGGGCTATCCCTCTGGTCAGTTGGGGTCAGCTGTCGCGGCTGTGTCCCCTCCCGACTTCTTGTGCACCCCCAGCCTACTCGCTGGCAGGGCAGGGTGAGAAGCGGAAAAGGTCTTGACGTTGTGCAAACAATAAGGAAAACATCCCTGTGTTATCAACACCGTTTTCATCACAAATTCAAAACATAGCCCCAAACAAGCTACTATGAAAAAAATTAACTCTATCCCAGCCAAAACCAGTATGCCACCTTTAAAAGAATCACTTTCATTTGAGGGTTTGGTACAGAATAAAGCTTGTTTTGTTTCTGGTTGTCTTGTCGGATTTGATGTTCCCATTAGTACCAATTCCCAAGCCTTTTCTGATTGGGAGTGGGAGGGCTTTTTTGGTAACAATTCATCTTAAACAGTTTTGTAATACTACTGCATTTTATTGGAACAATTTTAGATCATCCGAATCTCTCTATATTTGAAATTTGAGAGAACCCCAGCCAGATGTTTCTTTTGGAAAGTGAACAATAGAATGGTTGAGCTACATGCACAGAGATGGATTTGAGGGTTAATCAGAGAAGAACTATCTGGAGTTGTTATACCTATGCATCTCATTGAACACTTGGATAAAGAGATTTTTGTATGTAGAAGTGGAATAGTAAAGCAGACTAGGGTATCATACTAAATATCTCTGTTTTTCTCCCTTAGTGATAGGTGTGTAAATGTTAATATCACTAGCTCAAGAAAGTCATCTGCTTTTGTCCTGTTTTTCCTCACCTCCTTTTCTTCTCCCTGTGCTTACCTTTGTTGTATTAGGCTCATTCAGGAATTTGCTTGTGAGCATGTTTCCTTTTTTCCTAATATCCAGAAGTAACATTGTGACTTAGAACAGAAGAGGCTGAGTATAAGAAATTAATACAGCTGCAAACAATGAATCGGCGTTTTGACTTCTGACTATGTGTATCCTCTACCATGGCATGGTTGATGTACCTGAGCATATTCTAAATAGTAATGAAGTCACTGTCCACACCCAGGAAGTTAAGTATCTCCGTTCATAGATAAGAATCTGAGACACGGGATAACCTTAGGCACCTCACTAAGTCACAAGATGTTTGTTAGCTGGGAATCTAATTGGGATAATCTCAGCCTGGCTCTCTAACGATGTAGTCATGTTTTTCCTTTGTCTACTAATCTTGCTCATTGACACGTTTGTGTTTCTACTTCTTGATTTTCAATTTCTTTCTTGTGTTTTAATGTTAGACTTATGTCCAGTAGATTCTTGCGACAGGCTACATCATTACAGAATAGAGCTTGTGTATATCAGGAATTAGTTTAATCCTTTATTCAGTTCTATCTGGAATTAATTTTGTAGCTATTTAATGTTGCATCTGTGATCTTCACAATAAAATAGAGGTAGCCCAAGCAGAGTATTAGATTAATACAAAAAGTATTAATCGTGATTTAATGGATGGATTTGTTTTCAACGGGTTTTTCCTGAATAACAACACACTGAGTCTAGAAAGATTAAGAATAAAATAAACTGTTATATTATTGTTGAACACAAGAGGGTGCCATAGACTTACATTCACGTTGATTGTTAAATGTTTAATACTTGAAATTGGTTATTGAATTTGTCATAACTCAAAGATGCCGGAAAAGCATATGACAGGGGGCATGATACGAACAAATTCTTTCTCTACAGTGCTTTACATTATGAATGCTTTCCTCCATAAACACAGCAGCCTGCTAGCTGCTAGAAAAGAAGCATTCATCATTTTTTTGTGTTTTGTAATCATTTTGTGCTATGGAGTCCTCAGAAGTAATATCCATGAAAATGATTTAAAGGTTTTTAAATTAAGAAACTAGTAAAGGACGAGTATAGAATGCCTCGGAATGTCATCTGGGAGCAGCCACCTCCAGACTCAATAGTGTTTATTTCTCTCAGTACTTACTAACTATAAGAATCCAAAGTGAGGGTATTCATTAGCGTGACGATGCTTTGGCTTAGGCTTATTGTTAGCTGAACTAAACCACCTGATTCTGATTTATAATTTCCAACAGCTAATTAATCTTGTTGGACTTGGATTGTTTGAGTCCCCCCCAGCCCTTCTCCAGGGGTTTGGGCTGCCTGTGCTGGAGGCCAGCCCTGACAATGTGCAGGTGTTTGGGTGGTGAGGCAGAGCTGGGAAAAGCCTGCTTTGAAGCTTCCCCTGTTTGCCTGGGGGCTGTGCTGGAGCTCGGGCCCTCGCTGCTTGCCTAGTCCCACTGACTTGACTTCAAACCTGCCTCAACCATGGTTGACCCTGGTTGCTGTCACCCAACCTGCACTTCTTGTCTGGGTACTGTGGGACTGTGTATCTTAGTGGCGAGGCCACCGCCCTGCCGACCCTGCCAGCTCCCCTGCTCTGGTGGAGCAGCTGGCCCTCGGTGCTCAGTCCGTGAGCTTCTCGTGCAAAACTCTTGGAGTTGCTCCCAGGGCTTTTTGACTTAAGAACTTTTGTGTCTAGAGGCTTCCTCAGAGTTTCGGTGTTGAATATTATAGTGTAATAAGATTAGAGTGTAAGACTCATTCATTCTGGCTGTAGTGGTTAATGTTCTTCATAGCCTAGTTGTCTATGGAGACAAGGCTTAGGTAATGTGTTGTCTGGATACTTGCTTTTGTCAGATTTTTTTCCTCAGTTGGATTTAGATTTGAAACGGGTAGTCTGACCTTGAAGCCACAAAGCTCCTATATATGTCGTGATGATTGGGAGCTCAAGAGAGGAAACAAAACCCGGTTAATGTATATTAAAGGTACAAAAGTCGCGCTTTTTAAAAACTTGACCTTCATTAATTGTGCTGGTTGCAGAGCTGCCTGGAGTCTTCTGGCTGACTGAGACCAGGTATGCAGTTAGTATCTGAAGTGATGAAATTTTGTATTATTTAGTGGATGTTTTCTTTTTACTCAAAGAACCTGATAGCTGTAGTATTTTTTCTGAATTATTTTTTTCTCTAGCTCTTCATATCCTAGGTAGAAAAGCCTTAACAATTCCCCATTACTCTTTGCTTCTGATTCCCGCAGCTATTAGGCTTACTTTTGCATATAACTTTGCCGGTTTAAACAAAAGAGATAGCACACTTATGGTGGCAGATCCAACAACTGCTGCAGGTCTTGTTGAGAGAGGGGAGTCTCTCCCTCAACCTCAATAATGTTGTCAGTGTACCCATACAGGTCTAGAACTACTTCATGTTATTTTTGCCACTGACTCAGCCCCCCCCCCCCCCCCCCAAAAAAAATGTAAATAGATACCAGTTTGCAGGTTTCATGTAAAATGCTTGTAAATCATCTCAGTACCTTTAGATGAGAGGAATGCTTTTTTAAAAACAAGATGACTTCTGGTTTGTACAAACACAGAGTAACTTGACAAAGCCATGCAGAGGGTATGTGTGTGCAAATGTGAAGACAGACTTTCAAGAAATACTAGGTATATGTATGTAATTGCATATGTAAGCATGTATATTTATGTGAAAACATTGAAGATACTTTGTATTTCTATAATGTTTTATGCCAATGGAACCTATTAAACATCACCCAGTATTAAAAAGTAACTGTTTCTAGATTGAAATGCAGCAATTGTTTAGGGATAAGAAATAGAGAAATAATTGCACAGAACCTGCAGTATATAAGAACCTCGCGTAGTTCTTTCCTGTTGTCATTTAGCTAAAAACAGTTGCCTAATCAAGCGTGAATTGGATTTTTGATTTGTTTTAAATGCTTAAATGAATTTCAGTTCACTTAATTAAGTTTTTCCCCAGATGAGCATTTGAAAAGTGCAGAAGAGGTATGTGTTAGGGGTGAAGAGGGGAAGAAAAATAAAGGAGGATACTTGTCACAGTTCTTAAAATCTGGCTTCACAATACTTTTATATTCATGAGAGACATAACCTTGCTGATCAATTGTAGTCTCTACAGCCATGCAAGAAAATACTGAAGGTGCTCTATAATTAAAAAGAGCATTTCCAGAATGTGTGTTTAGTGGTAAGGTCCCAGAATTTTCCAAGGGAAATTCACCTGCAATTAACAGGTGAAAATGTTAATGATGTGAGAGAGTAGCTTGACTAGCCTAAAGGAAAAGAAGCATTGTGCTTCCTTCTTAAGATATGACATAAGCAGTGGTCTCTCCAGTGCATTAAAAAAAAAAATCCAGAGCAGATCATAAAGGCTTCACTGGGGAGGAAAGAATTGGACATTACACATTCAGTAGTCTCAAAACTGGGTAATCAGAGAGGGTGCATTTTAAGTTTCTACTAACATCTCCTTTATAGGTTTCCAAAACTCATGTTGCACTGAAAATTTTTAAGACCATAGCGGGAGCAGGGGGCTGCTAGTCACAAAAAACCCCAAAATAATGAATAGGAATTCGTTCTTACACTGGATCACGGCCTGTTTATCATCTCCCATAGGAAACATACACTCATGGCTCTGTTTGTCTTTCCCCCCCCCCCCCCCCCCCTCATTGGATGCGGCCAGGTTTCTATTTGCACAATGCAGCTGCAAGGAGTAGTGACAGTCAAGTGGTTTTTCCTTGGAAAAGCAGTATTTTCACACACACAGGGGAGCAGTTGTAGCGAGACCAACTTCTCTTGTCTCCCTGTTGGGAGCTGCAAAGCAAGACCTGTAGTTAGACACTGTCTTCTTTCCAGCTCTCTGTTTGCAATGGTGGCAAAAGTGCAGGGCAGGGACTAATCCTCTTGGAATGCGGCAATTATCACTAAATAAGTATTAATTGCTGCATTCCAAGGAGATTAGCACAGTTGAACCCAATTATAGCAAAGTGAAGCTTCACTGTAAGGCACTACAGTGCATTGAAATGCAGTGAAGCAATGTAGGACTGTCAGTCCGCAACATTTTGTCAATAAAAGTTGTGGGCTTACACACTGTAAACAGCAGACTTTTTCTTTTCAGTATATTGTCTACTGCGTGAATGGCATGCCTTGCTGAGGGCTACAGCTTGCTCACCAGAGAAAATTGTTGGTTATTTAACACCGATTATCTTTGTGTGAACATCTCCAAAAACGATTTTGATACTTGTTAAGTTAGTTCTGGCACTACAACTATCACTCCCTGCTGGATCAGGGGCAAGACTCTGCAGTCCGTCTGGATTCTCCCGTCTCTAAAGTTGGCCAGCTCCTCCATCAGGTGATGTAGGTATTAATTTTGCCTGCAAGTACTAACTGTATCAAATAGGCTTAGGAGAACTTTCGATAACTGACCTGTTCTTAGTCCCAGCAGTCTGCGGTGATGATTACAGGCAAGCTCTGTGTGGTAGCGGTACATGAGCCAGAGGGCAGTGTGTAGTTACTTTTTTAATCCCCGGCTTGACTGTGGTGCAGGTTTGTTTTTTAGTTTTCATTTATTTCCTGTTAAACCTGCAAACCCTGCTGCTTTTTTTAATAGTACAGTCAAAGCATAACCAGTAAGCATGAAAAGGGGATGCTTCTGGGGATGAATCAGCCCCTTGCATTAGAGCTGTTCCAGGATTTCTTGTGTCCAGAGAAAGAATGGCATATTGATGCACAGAACCAATTGAATGCATACCTTGTCTATTTTATGAAAGATGTTATCCTTACAGATAATGAGCCGCACCTTAACCAGTGTTAAACACAACTGAGTTGTACTTGGGGACCACTTCAATTCCCTGACCCATTCTGTTTCAGGAACCATAGATCAAATCTTGCGGTCTTCCCAGTGCACGTAATTCTTGAAATACACTTTCCTCCACCCGTATATTTAGATAAAGAGTCGAGTTTAGCTGAGAAGTTTTCTTAAACCAGCAGGGAGGGTTTTACGTCTCCACTGTGGCCTTGTCTGTATTGAGAAAAATAGCTGCTGGTTCAGCTGAACTAGTCTTGGCATTCGTTTCTAGTCCAGTGTTAACAAAGGTCTTACAATCTGACTGAAGTGAGTAAACTGAAATATCAGTATGGTTTAAACTGTTGGTAAAAATGCACTTACAAGATTGCCTAATGCACAACATGGGCAGGAGGTGCTGAAGTTTTTACTGTGCTATGTAGTTCCTAGAGATGCAAAGACTGAATAGGCTGAAAAGAAGGTGACAGTCTAAGAAAATAATTCCTCATCGTGTAATTACAAGCTGTATGAACACAGAAAAGCTTTTTCCTAGAGAAGAGACCACTTCCCCTTTATCTTTTTCTGTACTCCTCGACTGCATGTGATTTGCATCTCCCATGCCATGCTTCTTGTGAGAATAACTCATAATACAAGCATGATTGCTCTTTTGTATACTTTCATTGTATTTAGATTATAATGATAAGCTTGCCTTATTGCAAAAGCTGAGGGATGGGGAGGAGAGAGTTTCTAGGGGCACTGTCATGCAAAGCCTTTTTCTGACTCTACCCACACTTCTAAATGAAGTCCATATACTCTATTTCTCTGACCTTTCCCTATCTAGACATCAAAACACACTGGCCCAACTGCTGTTCTCCCAGTGTGTCTACTGTTGCCATTAATCTCCCTTTCTTATACAGCTCTTCATTCCTTTTCCTTACCTTTGGCCTCAACTCTTTATTCAAAGTGATAATTTGCTGGCTTTCTGCCGGAGGGAGAAGCTATGATCAATAACAGGAGGAGACAGGGGTCAGCAGAATAGTGATGAGCAGTGCCATTTGCTCCTCTGAAAATACTGTTACCCAAAAATATCAATAACAGGTATGATATTATTTTAGCTTTTGGATAAGGTGTCAGTGAGATTTAGGCAGCCTGCAGTGGGAGCAGGGGTCTCTTTCCTCTTACTAATTCCTTATTTCAGCCAATCTTCTGTCACATGGGGAAGTGGACAGAAAGGGCTTTATCCAGCTCACGTCGGAATATAGACCGTGTACCTGAGCACAACCATTTCTGGGACTAATGACACCTCTTTCAGCTTCAATGCATGGTGGCTCTTATGGGCAGTGCTTTGCCTTCTGCCTGGCGGTGAGTCAGAGCCCATCTCCAGCCTTCCCTTGCAGCTTTTGGGGTAGAAGAGCCACAAAGAAAACCTCCCCAAGGCTGAGGGAGATCAGAGGCTCAGCAGCACTGTCTAGGTATCATAGAATGGCATGCAGTGCTAGGTTTTGGTACTAGTAATACTAATAATTTTGGTATTGGCTGGTACAATATATAATAATTATTAAATAAAAGCATAATGCTGTTATATCAGTGTATTAGCCTTCATTACTTCAGACAGCAAGGTGATGAATTTCTTGGTCTCATTCTTCCAAGAACTTCAATTTACTTTTCTTTCAAAAGACTATAAATCCTTACATCTTATATGCACAATAACTCTCACCCTGCCAGTTGTCTTCATACTATTGGGAAATAGTTATCACCAATCCTGTTCCTGTACATGCTGGGGATGCACGTTTCTCTTTCTCTTTCTTTTCTAAAGATTAGAAATGCAGGAGAAAAAAAAAAGTAATTATTCATTGAGATACTTGTGCTTCCTCCCAGCCTAAGCTCTGATCCTGAAATGTATTAATAGTATTAATATTGTAAACACTCAGTAGTCTTCTGTTGAGCCAGTTGTATTTTGATGGGGGGAGGCTGAGTTTTAGGCTTTAAGGTGCATCAAAGTTGTGTTTTCAAGCTTTTCTAATTCACAGTTGTCTAAAATGTACTTTTTATTTCTGGATACTTGTGCTTCCTCCCAGCCTAAGCTCTGATCCTGAAATGTATTAATAGTATTAATATTGTAAACACTCAGTAGTCTTCTGTTGAGCCAGTTGTATTTTGATGGGGGGAGGCTGAGTTTTAGGCTTTAAGGTGCATCAAAGTTGTGTTTTCAAGCTTTTCTAATTCACAGTTGTCTAAAATGTACTTTTTATTTCTATTAATAAAAGTGAGTATTTTTATTTGTTCACATTTGAAAAAAGCACAATAATGTGAGATTTCTTACAAAGTGAGAGTTGGCATCACTGTGTCACGTGGTATGCTTTTCATATAAATGCCCTAACACTTTGCTGGAGAAATTACTTCTGTCTAATATCTCCTCAGGAAGATTTTTCTGAAACTCCAGATTTCACCTTTCTTAATTTAATCTCATTATGCTGGGTTTCTTCTCCCCTCTATTACCCTAAATGAATCCTTTTATTAGCTGCTGCTGCTTAATAAAAATAATAATGTAATGAGAAATGTTGAGGAGAAAGTACCCCTAAGCACACCTTAGCTGTCCCCTTGCTTTTTTTCTCATGCATTTAAAAATTGTGTTTTTTTGTTTTGTTTTTTTTTTAATAAAGAAAACCAACACAAAAAAAGCCCCAAAACTGAAAAGCCAAACAACTCCCAGGTGTCCCTGATTCCTGGTTCTCTTTGAGTTCTAGTGCCTTGTTTTCGCTGTCTCCCTTAAGACTTAATTTCTTTATCTGTAAAAGCTTAACTGCCCTGGCTTTAGTAAGGCTAATTTGAAAAACATGGTGAGGTCCTCAGGTAAAAGCATAATGAAATGATTTAATATTGTTAACACAAATCAGTTTGTGTTTTTCCAGCTCATAGTACGATGCGTTCTCCAGAGTGACATTTGCTGGGTTACTGCTAAAGCGTGCTTATTCTGTTGGCTGTGTGGTTATCCACCGCTGCCTACAGAGTGCTGCTTTAATACCACCTGATTTGATCACTAGCTTGGCTTCGCAAAGAAACAAGCGTTATGATTCTCTTGGCTCAGCCTGCCACTCACCACCATCCCAACCACTTTTGACCTGGGGGGTCAACATCAATCCAGCTAAACAAAGGAGACTCAAATGTAACCTGTTCTACTCATGGTTTTGTGTAGCTAGCTGCAGTGATCTTGTTAGATCCCTCAGAGCAGCAGAAAAAACAGGGCATTTTCACTTTCACACTGGGCTGCTGGGTTAGTTAGTCAGCATGTACACGTGCTACCCGGGGCTGCGTGCCCAGCCACCTGGCCCCACAGAGGAAGGCACGGGAGAGCCAAGGGGGCAGCAGGGGCTTAGGGCAGCATGGGAGGCACTGCAGTCATCATGCTGGATGGAGAACGTGGGTGGACCTGTGGGAAACGAGGCTTCACCAGCGCGGCTGCCAGGCAGACCTGCTTGGTTTTGTGTCGCTCTGAGGACCGTGTTAACAGACCAGCCTAGAATGTGGGGCTGAAAAGCCCTGTTAGCTCTCAGAATGCAGTCACCTTCAAACTACTCATGCCACTCCTGGGGCGTGCCGGTCTGCCTCAGGATCTGTCACTAGAGGATAGCTTCAAGCAGCAAGAAGGCTGAACCTTGTGGCCCACTCAGTAGGTAGGAGTGGCATGCATACCTAGAGGCTGCGAAGCTTTTTGTTTCAAGCCGAGCGAGGAGGAGATGCACGCTGTGCTTTCCTGCAGAGATGACACAGGCTGTCCTCCCTACAGGCTGCGGTGGCTTCAGAGGACAAAATGGCTCCAGAGCTCTGCACGTGCTGAGACACTTTTGAAATACAAAGATGCGGTGTGTTCACATCAAAAGGCATCTCCGTTTCATGGACAGGTACAACTGAAATGAGCCAAGCAGCACCAGTTGTGCTGGTGTTTTATGTCCTGTGGACGCTGTCTGCGAGGACAGGCAGAGCCCAGCTGTCCCTGATGCTGGCCACCCCATAGCCCTGAGAGTGCAGCCACTTCCAGTTGCTCGTGGTAAGGCCATATTTCAATTAGATTTAGAAATGAACTTTACATCTTTACTGGTTTAGCCAGCTACTTGTTCAAGAGTGACTATAACTTCCAGTTTTAAACTTCTGTTTGTGCCATATTGCACACTGGACATAGTTGTATAGTATCCCTTTTGAAGTCAGGCCAAATTTGATACCATATATCCTTTCTAGGCCCCTTATAGAGATCAGCAGCTGCTGACTGGGATATCCTAGGAACCATCAGGCAAACTGGAAAAAAAACCCGCCAAAAACCATCTTGCAAAGAGAAAAGAAAGAAAAAAATACAAAAGGAAACCCCAAACATCAATACCAAGAACATAAACCCCAGACCTCAGAGGCTGCCTGGCTGCGAGGCAGAAGAAGGCGTGTGCTTCGGCGCTGCTGCCGGCAGGTGGACTCCGAAAGCCCTCATAGGAGGTGAGCTTCCTGCGGGAGCCAGCAGATGAGCAAAGCCTGTGGAGGTGCCTCTTCTCCTCGCCCCGAGTCTGCGGCCTCTTGCTCCCCAGCACCGCCCGGGCGAGCAAGATGAAGTGGAGGAGGATCGTGATCTTTGCCATCCTACAGGCACAGCTCCCCGTTACAGGTAAGGCAGGCTTTTATTTTATGAGGAGCCATTTTAAAGCTCTTTGGAGGAAAGAGAACTTTGTTTCTGTGGTGGATTCCCCACCATTTTGGTAGCAGGAGGGTATCTGCATGAGGACCTCAGCCATGTCTGTCCTCCTAATCATGGCTGGAATCATGGCTGCCTGTGAACGGCACGGCAGGACTCTTTGTGTTGAACTGCTGTGCTATAAAGAGACCCTCCCGAGGGCTGGGAGGAGGAGGTGAGGACAGCCATTGCTGTCAGCACGGCCTCCTCTTCTCCTGCTGGAGTGACTGCTGCAGCTGAACAACAACTCATAATTAAGTAAGGCTCTCAGCCCTCACCTGGGTGGCTTTCCTCGGGATTTAAAAGGGGAAATTTGATACAATAATGAAAATTTAGTCACTTGTGGTAATCTGCACAAGAGAGGCTTTTAATTTAGTTAGGTAAAATTAGAGCCATGTTGCTTGTAACAGCATGTTGGGTGGTTGGTTTGCAGTAAACGGCGTACCAGGCAGACTAGAAATAGGGGGGCATAGATGATGAGAAAAAGGATAGGGTCCTTCCTGTTGTGTCTCTGCCTTCATGCTTCTCTCTGCTAGGCACAGGTAAAATGAAGTAATTTTTACCTTTATATATTTACTCATGGTGGTGTATACGCTGGCTCCACTTGGGCAGAAAGTGAAGCAGCTTTGGCATGCACAAATCTTCAAACGTCATGTTAATTTTGGGAGAGAGGAACATACTTCTTAGTAGGTTTGTAGGTCAAAAGAGCGAGAAAATTTTAATTTACATCCAGAGAAGGCCTCAGCCTCGGCCTGAGTTTGGAGAAGTCAGCCAATATTAGTAGGCCGCATTTGAGTAAATTCACTAGAAGAGTTTCCCCCACAATGTACGCCCTGAATGTACTTAACATACCAGCCTTACTAACGCTGAAGAGCCTTTCAGGTGGCTGCCACAGACCTTTTATTTGAAACTTTTCTAGAGATTAGAGAAGGGTTTTGCAGCCACTTGCTAACACTGTGGGACCAGTTCTGGTAATTTGTGAAGGTTATGTATGAGGAGGATTTTAAGCAGAGTCGTATGCTCTGTGGTAGGCATGCCTTCTGTTCATCCTCCATTCAACCTCTGGGGCCTCTCTCCCTTTCTGATATTTAAGTATGATACTGTACTTAAGTATGATACTTCTGGTACTTATATTTTGTACATTGCTCTGTATCCATAGATGCGTATAGGGCTAAAAAGGTATGGAAATTACTTTAGGTCAAAATGCGTCCGCAAAAAATCTTTTTGCATTTTCTCCTTTTAATCTGTCGCAAGATACCAGTAGTTCAGGCTCCTATTTGTACGTTTTTAGCAGAAAACTTTTATTGAAAAATATGTAATGCAGTTTGCAGATGGGTAAAGCTAGCCCTATAGGGGTCTCTGGTGCAAAGCTTTTAGGGGTATTCACACTCACAAAGAATACATGGAATCAAATTTTGAACAGGCTACCACTACCATTGATTTGGAGATGGTTGCCTGTGGATTTGAGGGGAGGTATTTTTGATTGGATACCTGTAATAGTTCGAAGAATAGTAGTATTTAGCCTAAGAGTATAGGTAGAATAAAAGAAATGTAGCACAAAACTTGTGGAATTGTTGCTACATTATTGATGCAAAATACACAGTAACAAAAATGTAAGATGACCATGAATTTAGTTTAAAGATGAGGCCAAACAGATGGGTTTTTCAGCTCAGAGCTATGAACAGAAGCAAAGATCTGCTGCTGCCTGGAGTGTTTTCAAGCCTTTCTAGAGTGAAGTGAACTTTTATTTTTTCATAAAACAAGCTCAGAGTGGACAGAGATTCGGTAAGCTGCATACCACCTTACAGTGAGTTCATTCCACCTCACTAAATGTGTTTTGTGCTTATTCTTCAAATGATCAATTGAAAGATGCTACCGAGATTGGGACTGATGAACTCGCAAAGCCTTTACTTTTGATCTCTTGAGTACTGAAGTAAATATGTCAGGCGTGAGAAAAAATTGTTTTAAAATAAGTAATTCTAGAGATGGGCCACAAATTCTGATGCAGATTTTGAATTATTGACACCAGACCACAAATTTCAGAATGCTCAAACTTGGCCTTCGAGCAATTACAGAGGGAAGCCATATCATATACACATTTAGTTTTCTGTGTTTCCCCCTTCAAAGATACAAAAGTGTACATCTGGAAGTTTAGCTGAGGTCCTCCTATAATCCCTCTTAAAAACTGCATAAACATAAATGATTTGAATTTCTGAACAGATAGCTTTATTAATCATGTTGTTTGAGACATAAGAAGAATATTAAAAGACTTCTACCCAAATATCACAATTAAAATGGCAAAAATCTTCGTACAGTTTGCAGAGCTTTTAGTCTGAAGTATGACAGGCTTCAACGCCAATAAAACAGTACTGTGGGCAATATTGTAGAATTGCTCCCTTTTTTTTTTCCCCCAAGGCTGATGAGGTGACACTTTGATTTGTACAAATATACAACACACGTATATAAATATATATGCAAGAGTTCTTCAAGGACAACCCTTCCCTGTTTTACACTTCTTTACAAAATCACTTTTCTCAGAATCATCTGCTAAATAGAATTGGACAGTGTCCTGTTTTTTGCTAACTCTGTGGAAACTAAAACATGTCAGCCTTTGGCAGATATTACTTGTACAGCTTATTTTCACAATATTTTGCTGCTCTGCATAACTGTCTTCTGCCCATTGGGCACCATGATGCCAGGAGCCTTTTTTGAATCGGTTCATGGACAGGAAGGTAAAATGGACAAGTAATGGGTCTTAGGATTCATTTGTTCCTTCCTTTTCATCAGATGACTTAGCAGGTCTGCAAACTACAAGATTTGTAGACTAAAAGTTGTTTACAAGCCTATCTGGGAAACCCAAACAAGTAAATACAGACTATTTTGGTTACCATCCCCATGTCTTTATGTGCTGTCTTAAGTTCTCCTAGCTGAATTCTTGTTACACCTAGGGAAAAAAAAATTTAAAGGCTTAATTTTACATGTTTTATTTTCTTTTCTGCTGCCTGTTCACAATGGTTCATTAATAATTCATGGCAAAAACTATGAACTGGCACATTAGCGAATGGAACAAAATGTAGGCAAATGTATCCTTTCTTTGTAAAGGGACATTTGTTGAGCTCTTGCAGTGCTATATTCAATTCTATAATGCTTGTTATAGAGTAAGTGCTTTCTCTCTGAACCCTTCTGAGCAAAATTCCTAATGAGTGAAGTAACAAGTTAATGATTGCATTCGTTTTGGTTTTTCATGTATGCTAGATGGGAATTATATACAAAATAGAGAAAGCTATCTGAAAATATATTTATATTTCTCCTGCCTAAGTGTGTTCTTAAGTAAGACTATGTGGATAAAAAGCCAAAGTGGGGGGAAAAATAGGAGGTTCGCTAGCAGCCTAAAGGGGACGAGAACTTAATTTATGAATGGATGTTAATTTGAGGAATGCTTTTGACAGCCATTTTCTGTTATTCACACAAAATTGAATTGTGACTAGCACCATGAGTAAACCCATAAGCAAGGAAAAAAAAAAAATCATGTTTTCTAACTAGCTCCAAACTGTAACCAAACCCCTATTAAAAAAGAAAGAAAAAAATACTTGCTTGCACAATCGCAGATAACCATCGAATCCCCCTCCCCTCCTCCAATTCATCATATATTTGAATGTCTATATTGTATGTAGAACTGTAAGATGTATCAGCTATTCTGGCAAGAAAATAGAGTACGTTTTTAGGGTGGCATGAATGGAAGATACAACCTCTTAAAAATACTTAAAATATTTATCCTATTAAAGGTATTCACTTTGTCTGTGTGCATGTGTGCTCGTATGCATATTATTGATTTTCACCGTTCTACTGATACGACTTCGGTCAACAGCTAAATTAAAGTTTCGCTGATGTTTCTTTTTAGCATTAAGAAAATGATTTATGCTATTCCAGAGTCTTTGAGAAACTGAAATTTTGCAGATTTTTGATTTGCACTGTTGTATAATGTAATATTTTGAGACTAGTTTTGAATATTGTTTTCTTAATTAAATTCAGTTCTGCTCCTTTAAAAAATACATAGTATTTTTAGCTTTTAAAATATGACAGTCCAGATTTTTTTTTTCAGGAAAGCAATGAATGCATTTAACTCCACTTTGTCCTATGCAACTGATTTATAACTTCATATATAACAGATAAAATGTGCAGGCAAATGAAAAGCTTAGTTTGCAGTTCTTCAGTCTACTCACTCAAATGCACAGATCTCGGGAGACAGTGGAAATGCATGTATTTAGCCACATACAATGGATATATCCATCTTTGCGAAAGTTAGACTTACCAATGTGTAGTTCTTTCAGTCCTTTGACAATTTAGCTATTAAAAATAGAAGTGAAAACACCTAACTCCTAAGCCTCAGAGATCACAAGCACTGGTGTCTATGCAAGTTCTGTTTCAGGGATAGAAGCCATCTCAATTTTTGAACCATATAGATTGGAAATATTCAAATCCCTACAAGTTTTCTAGGAATAAACCATCGATCTTTGGAAGCCCTTTATGTATTTTGTTCTCAATACTTTGTTATATGTCTGTCAAGTCTTACGAGAAGAACAACAGCAAGTTTGGAGTTTTCCATTTTCATGTACTTTTGGTATGGGAGAGTATGTTAAATATTGTGCTTCTGGTAAGCAGGTTGCAAAGCCTGATGAAATGCTCATACTATTTGGCCTATTTCTTTCATGGGATGCAATTGTAGTGAAAACTTCATCTATATCCTGACTCCTTCTGAGTAGCAGAACATTTTTTCATTTGTTATATTTTTAAGTGAAGGAGAAGCCATAATGATAACGCAACTCTTTGAAAGCTCAGATAATACAGAGGTGAAATATATACCAAATTAGAATTTGTTGGAAGCTGACAAGAGAAAAAGGTTGCAAAATTTTCAACAAATGATAGCATAAACT